CCCATGCTTCTAATGCATCTGGCAAACTACAGTTCAACAAACATTTGGGTTTGGTTTCATTTCTCCAATTCAATAGTTTGTGGCTTTCATTTGCTCTGTTTGGAAACTCCTAAAATACTGTTATGAATTCTTAATGTTCTAATATATCAAAACTGAGCAACAAATATTTCATTATTAATAATAACAATACCTAATCTTTACTGAGTACTTACTTTCAGACACTATTAACTCATTTAATCCTCACAACAAACCTATGAAGGAGATACTATTATTATCTCTATTTTATAGAGGAAGAAACTAAGGCACAGAGATTAATTAACTTAAAGTGTTCATTTAACCAGTACAAGGCAGAATCTGGATTCAAACCTATGCAGTCTGACCCCAGAGTTCATGCTCATAACCATTATGCTAACACAGTTTATATTTATGTTATATTTGCTTTACATAAAATGAATAAATTACCTTCTTAAAATAGTGAGAAACAAAACTACTGTAGACACACATCATTAGAATTCCAGAGAATGTGGCAGCAAAGCAGGTGCTTAGTTTCTCTGAGAGATGTTCCTGCCCTCAGAGAGTTTACAATCTGATTTGGAAATTAGAAATACATCTGAAAGTGTGTAACAATACACTGTGGTTTAGGATGAGTACAAATGTGGAGTACACCCAGGACTGCTATGAAAGTTGAGAGGAGGAAGTAATTTCTAAGGACTGGGCCACCATAAAAGACTTGATGGAACAGATAGGTCTTAAAGGAGGAATAAAACTGATAGGAGGGAGAAAAGAGCTATGATGTTATAAGCAAGAGGAACCATCAAACCATCTGAACAAAATTATGAAGTACCAAGAAAATATCCAAATTGTTTAATTGTTTCATGTACAGAGGTAATAGGTGATGAGACTGGAAAAGTAGGATCATATTGGGGAGGAATATTGGGTTAAGGAGGTAGGACTTTATCCTCTAGACCTGCCCTGTTTGACAGTCACTAGTTAGATGTGGCTATTAGCACTTGAAAGGTAGCTAGTCCAAATTGAGGTGAGCTGTACAGGTAAAATACACACCGGCTTTTGAAGACTTCAGTATGAAAAAAGAATGTAAAATATTTCATTAATAATTTTTTTTCATTAATAATTTTTATACTGATTACATTTTGAAATGATCATACTCTGGATATACTGGGTTAAATAAATAAATCATTAAAATCCATTTCACTTGTTTCTTTTTATTTTCCTAATGTAGCTACTGAGAAATTTAAACTCACATGTGTGAAATGCATTAAATGTAAGGCCAGACACTATAAAACTCTTAGAGGAAAACACAGGTAGAACACTATGACATAAGTCAGATCAGGATCCTTTCTGACCCACCTCCTAGAGAAATGGAAATAAAAAAATAAATAAACAAATGGGACCTAATGAAACTTAAAGCTTTTGCACAGCAAAGGAAACCATAAATAAGACGAAAAGACAACCCTCAGAATGGGAGAAAATATTTGCAAACGAAGCAACTGACAAAGCATTAATCTCCAAAATATACAAGCAGCTCATGAGCTCAATATCAAAAAAACAAAAAACCCAATCCAAAAATGGGCAGAAGACCTAAATAGACATTTCTCCAAAGAAGATATACAGATTGCCAACAAACACATGAAAGGACACTCAACATCACTAATCATTAGAGAAATGCAAATCAAAACTACAATGAGGTACCACTTCACACCAGTCAGAATGGCCATCATCAAAAAATCTACAAACAATAAATGCTGGAGAGGGTGTGGAGAAACGGGAACCCTCTTGCTCTGTTGGTGGGAATGTAAATTGACAGAGCCATTATGGAGAACAGTATGGAGGTTCCTTAAAAACCTGAAAATAGAACTACCATACGACCCAGCAATCCCACTACTGGGCATATACCCTGAGACGACCATATTTCAAAAAGAGACATGTACCACAATGTTCATTGCAGCACTATTTACAATATCCAGGACATGGAAGCAATCTAAGTGTCCATCGACAGATGAATGGATAAAGAAGATGTGGCACATATATACAATGGAATATTACTCAGCCATAAAAAGAAACAAAATTGAGTTATTTGTAGTGAGGTGGATGGACCTAGAGACTGTCATACAGAGTGAAGTAAGTCAGAAAGAGAAAAACAAACACCGTATGCTAACACATATATATGGAATCTAAAAAAAAAAAAAATGGTTCTGATGAACCTAGGGGCAGGACAGGAATAAAGATGCAGACATAGAGAATGGACTTGAGGAAACGAGGAGGGGGAAGGGTAAGCTGGGACGAAGTGAGAGAGTAGCATTGACATATATACACTACCCAATGTAAAATAGATAGCTAGTGGGAAGCAGCCACATAGAACAGGAAGATCAGCTCAGTGGTTTGTGACCACCTAGAGGGGTGGGATAGGGAGGGTGGGAGGGAGAGGCAAGAGGGAGGGGAGGGATATGGGGATATATGTATACATATGCCTGATTCACTTTGTTATACAGCAGAAACTAACAACATTGTAAAGCAATTATACCCCAATGATGATGTCATAAAAGAAAATCACATGTGTGGTTTGCATTTGTGGCTTACACTGCATTTCCTTTGGACAGTAGTGCTCTAAAAAATGAAAAAATGAAGGAAGACTAATGAGCAAGGATTTATGTAAAAAGTGTTTAAAGTATTTAAAGAAGTTTATTCTGGTATAAATAAACAGACAAGTTTATTCTGGTATAAATTCAGATGGTAGGACAACTGATCTGTTTTTTCAATAAGCCAATGGCAGAAAAAGAAATAAAAAACAAGGTAGTAGTGAAGAATTGGGGCTGCTATAGCTTAAAAGATATTTAAGAGACAGAACAACCAATTGCAATGTGTAGATTTTGGATCATGACGCGAGCAAATAAAAAGACATTTCTGAGACAACTAAGGAAATATAAATAAGCAGTAGATTTGGATAACATCAGTGAATTATTGATAATTTTGGTGGAATAATGACTTTATGGAGATGAAAGAAAAAGTTGCAAACTAAAGTATGCTTTAGGGATGCAAACTAAAGTATGTTGATATGAAATGAAAGAACATTTGGAATTTGGTGGGGACAAAAATGTGTATCTCTATATTCAAATAAATATATATATATAAATGTAAATTGGAAAAATTGAGGTACTGTGATTAGAGTTTTCAGAAGTTTGTTCAAAAAAAGGAATAAAAGAGAGAACACAATACACTAATGGATTCATAAATCAAAATAAAGTGCTCTTTCTATAAAAACTGAAGGGCCTGAGCATAACTATCTATACAAAGAAGGACTATGCAGTGGAAAAGGGAAGTTTGAGGGCTATAAAAATTCAAGTGGGGGCTTCCCTGGTGGCGCAGTGGTTGGGGGCCCGCCTGCCGATGTGGGAGACGCGGGTCCGTGCCCCAGTCCGGGAGGGTCCCGCATGCCGCGAGGCGGCTGGGCCCGTGGGCCATGGCCGCTGGGCCTGTGCGTCCGGAGCCTGTGCTCCGCGGCGGGAGAGGCCGCAGCTGTGGGAGGCTCGCGTACCGGAAAAAAAAAAATTCAAGTGGGTGCCATTCTGATAGTACTGTATAGGAAGGTTTTCAGAAGAACACTTAAATCTGTCGTTTTAGGTATCCTTAGGGCCACACAGAAGGTATGTTAGAACCAGGACTGAAAACCAGATCCTCTGACTTAGTATAATGCTCGTTGTGTCTGCCCTTAAACATGACAAAATCCTATGAAGAACCTAAACTATACCTTTCTCTTTAGATTTTTAAACTTTCCTGTATCATCCAGTTATTCTTTATTGTTCATACCATCATTAAATAATTGACTATATCAAAATATCTTCTTCAATGTGCTTAGGGTTTGTCTTGACGGCTTCTCAAACGGAGGTTTGGTAGAAGAAAGATAAAAAAAGAAGAAGGAAAGCAAATCTAAGCAGTAACAACAAAAAAACTACCTTAACATCTCCAAGTGAGATTTATATCATGCTGCGGAGAACTAAGATGAATTTTCACCTCCAGGTACAGTGCAAGAAAGAATAGTCAATATAAGGTAAGCAGCACAGAGGTTTGAGAATACAAGGGAACACAGAACAAATGAAAGGGAGAGGGAAGAAGGAAAAAGCTAACAAAAAAACTAAGTGCCCATTTGGAGTGCCCAGCAACAGTCTCAAAGCGAGCGTTTTATTCTGCTTTTTCTGTGAGCTTGAAAGATAGCATGGCTACCCTGGGAACAGGACGACTTGCTAAGAGAGTGAAAGGATTTTGAAAAGTTTTCATTTTTCAAGTTGGTTGCTAAAATCTAAAAGAAATAACTAAGTTGAACATCTCTTCCAGAAAAAAATATTAAAACTGAAAAACTTTACTCAGCATACGTTTTAGTTCTCTTAATTTTGAAATGAGAACATTCCAAAGGAAGTCTTGGGAGACGGGAGGAATCAGTTCTCCTCATCCTTTTCATCCCGCCAATCCCAACAGTACCCCCACTTCACCCCCCCATCCCCCGCCATAGTACTACGTTCGGCGTTGGGTAGAGTAAGCGGAGGAAGCTTTGGGGAAGGCGGAGGAAGCCCGGGGGATGGGGGTGCTCGCTGAGGAAGAGAAGAGAAGCGACATTCGGGGAGCCAGGATAAGAGCGAGTTAGAACGAGGCGAAGAACGCCTTTTTCCAAAGCTCGGGCACTTACGGTTGGTAAACTCCGTGGAAGCGGCGACTGGGTTACCATAGCGACCGCGTCCAGGGGGGCGGAACGGCGCTTCCGATCGGTGCCTCAGCCACTGCGGCTCGGCTAGAAACGTGATCGCGTCAGGACAATGACTTCCGGCGGAAGTAGAAACGGATTCCGAGGTTTGGAAGGCGGCCGGAGAGGAGTGAGCGCCTGTGGCTCTACTAAGTTTGGTAAGTTTGATATCTAGTGAAGCCAGGAGAGAGTACCGGCCTGTGGCTGGACTACAGAGCCGACTGTGAATGCAGAGGATTTCCGAGTCCCAATTTTGAGGAAGCCCCGGATGTCTCGTTAAGTTCATGGCTGTGGGAAGAGGTTTCCTGGTTCTGGGGCTCCTAGAGGGGTCTTTTCGGTTGCTGGAGGGCTGCCGTATCCTCCAGTGAACAGGTTCAGGAGCTCTTTGCGAGGTCTGAGCGCCTCTCCGATAACCGAGGGACTGTTGCTCTCTACCTGCCGGTGCTGACTGCCAGTTTCGCATGTTATTCTTTTAAGGTAATCTGGAAGAAAAGAATTGAACTGGAGACATTAAGAGGGAATGCTCCGAAATTCATTTTAATTCTTCGTTTTGCTTTTTAAGAATATTTATTCTTTTTGTAAACATTTGTTAAACTCTAGTGTGTTTAGTGAGTACTTACTGTGTGTCGCTTTTATCAAGAGACTAGCAGAAATAACCTTGCTTAGAGGGTCATCCACCATTCGGGTTCATCATCGATTTCTATTTTTTTTTAATGCTGTTGTATACTTATTAATTTAAGATGTAAGCGTATATCATGAAGCTATCAGGTTTTTCACACTTGTCTGTATACTCATATATGATATTCTTGGGGCGTCTTGAATGAAAATATATACTTCAGGTTTGCATTATAATCGTGACTTAATTAAATATTACAGAACTTAGGGAAGCTGTACCTAGTTAATTCTTAGATACACTCAAACCGTAATGAATTGTCATTAATATTTCTATTCAGTTGATCTGAGAAGGCCCACTTCTTGTTCGAGGGATGATGGCATTTGAGCAGATACCAAAAAAGGATTGGTACAGCATTCTGGAGGCAGACCCATCTGCAAGTGTGTCAGACCTGAAGCAAAAGTATCAAAAACTCATATTAATGGTAAGTCTTTTCTTTCATTTTCTAAATCATAGGGGGAAAATCAGGTTTTTTATGTGACCGGAAATTTAGGTGTCCGTAAAATGAATATGTAATATCAAAGCAGGAATCAAAGTATTAATTTGGTTAACTGAAAGTTTCAGTAATATTGTAAAAGAAAAAAGTTGATTTGAGGTGAGATAGCATGGTGGTTTGTACCAGATCAGAGTCATGCTGATTAAGTTAAAATCCTGATTCTACCCCTAACTAACCTTGAGAACTTGGGCAAGTTACTTTCCCCTGTATGTTCCTCAGGGAGGATTAAATGAAATAATCCATGTAAAATTCCTTGAAGTGTGTCATGTTATAAGCGACATTAGCATCCAGTAGACACTAGCTACATGTGGCTGTTATGCACTTGAAACTTGGCTAGTCCAAAATGAGGTGTGCTGTAAGTATAAAACACACATTGGATTTTGAAGACTTAGTACAGAAAAGGAATATAAAATAGTCTAAAAATATTATGTTGATTAAACGTTGAAGTGATAATATTTTGGTTATATTGGCTATTTTGCATATTTTGTACATAATATATGTGCATATATTTGCATATACAGTAAATGTATTATCAAAATTGACTTCATCTGCTTTTTAAACATTGCATATGTCTTGCATTTATAGTTTGCAGTATATTTTTATTGAATAATACTGACTTAGGCCAGTTAAACACTTTTTCACCTGATTCCATTCTTTTGTGAAATGAGTTGTGGTATTTATAAATAGATAGTATCTTTCTAAACTACCATATTAATTTTTTCAGCCTATATTGTGGGGTTTATTAAGCCAGTATCACTAACTATAATGGTCTCCAGTTAACTCAGTTTACAAAAAGAGTAGAGGACCATTATTTATATAATATTAGTTGTTTCTCTAGTTTTTATCAAATAGATCTATGAGATTTTTGCCATAACTTAGTGTTTATTGTGAGAGACAGTAGATGTTTCACTGTCAAGAATGTATTATTTATCTCTGCTTTAGGTAATAAGTTGAGCTAAATGATGTTAAGGTTTCTTTTGTCTCAGGATTTTTAAGATTTCTGTCAGTAAAATCAAGTAGACTTTTTTTTTTTTTTTTTTTGCGGTACGCGGGGCCTCTCACTGTTGTGGCCTCTCCCGTTGCGGAGCAACAGGGTCCGGACGCACAGGCTCAGCGGCCATGGCTCACGGGCCCAGCCGCTCCGCAGCACTTGGGATCTTCCCGGACGGGGGCACAAACCCGTGTCCCCTGCATCGGCAGGCGGACTCTCAACCACTGCGCCACCAGGGAAGCCCATCAAGTAGACTTTTTTGAAAAATTTCCTAATACTGTATCATCCTTGTGCCTCAGTTAACTGAGAGATGAGGCTGGAGAAGTAGACTGGGTTTAGATCATGCAGGGCCTTGTAGGCCGTTTGGCGTTTAATTTGACAAGAAGCCATTTGCACTTAATATGGTAATATCTGTCAAATGTCAAACAGAGTGAATGAACCATTTTGCATACCCTCTAGTAATATATCAGAGAGTTCCAGTTGCTCTACATCTTCCCCAATATTTGATGCTATTAGTCTCTTTCAATTAATCTATTAGAGGTTTTTCAGTTTTGCCACCATTGACATTTTGGGCAGGATAACTGTTATGTGGGGCTGTCCAGTGCATTATAGGATGTTTAGCAGCATTCTAGATGCCAGTAACAACTACAAATGTCTCCTGGCTCTAAAAATTGCAAACCTCCGTATCTCATTGAGAACCCCTGCACAGTCCTCCTGTGTTTATAGTGAAATCTCATTGTGGTTTTATTTTGTATTTCTCTGATGGCTAATGATGTTAAGCTCTTTTTTAATGTGATTTTAGCCATCTGTATAATTTTCTTTTGTGAAGGCTCGTTTTTAAAAATTAAATATATTCTTGAGCTCGTGTATGTATTGTATGTATTTTCTCCTAGCCTATGGCTTGCCAGCTCATTTCCTTAATGGTGCTTTTTGATGAGAAGTTTTTTGTTTTGGTGAAATATAATTTATCAAATTTTTGTTTTATGATTTGTGCTTTCTGTGTCTTCTCTAAGAAGGTTATGAAAATATTCTCCTGTGTTTTCTTCTAGAAGATACATAGTTTGCTTTTACTTTTAGACCTCTGGTTTTTATGTATCGTGTGATATAGGAAGTCATGTTTTTGTTTTTCTCTAAGTATGGATATCCAGTTGTTCCTCATTTATTGAAAAGATTTTCCTCTCTCCATTGGATTGTTTTGGCAAGATGGGTCTATTTTTGGACCCTATTCTGTTGAATATATTTGTTTATCCTTTTACTAATACATTTTTCTTGATTACTCTAGGTTTATAGTCAGTTTTAAAGTCACATAAAGTTAAATTCTCTAATCTTATTTTTCTCTTCAAATTAATTTTGGTTATTTTAGATTGCTTACATGTACGTAGACATTTAGAATCAGCTTATACATTTCTATTAAAAAATACTGCTTGAATTTTAATTGTGACTGTATTGAATATATATCCATTTTAGCAGAATGGACATTTAGTAATATTTAACAATACTGAGTCTTCTAATCCATGAATATGTTAGATCTCTCCATAACTTGAGTCATCTTTAATTTCTCAGAAATATTTTAGAACTTTCAGTGTAGTATTACACGTCTTTCTTTAGATTTATTTCTAGTTTTTAGAAATGTTTTTGGTAGTTTATTTTTATATAATGATCTTGTATCCCACAGTCTTGGTAATTTGCTTGTCAGTTGTCCTGTAGCTGTTTTTGTAGATTCCTTAGAATTTTATACCAACACAATTATGCCATTTGCAAATGAAGAGAGCTTTAATTCTTTGTAATCTGTATGCCTTTTATTTATTTTTCTTGCTTTAAAGCAGTAGTTATGTGCTTCTATTACAGTGTTCAACTGAAGTGTGAGAGGAAATATCCTTGCCTTGCTCCTGATTTTAGGGGGGAAACCTTCAATATTTTACTATTAAATAGAGTGTTAGCTGTGTTTTTTAAGATGCCCTTTATCAGGCTGGGGAAATTTTTCCTATTCCTAGCCGCTGAGAGTATTTATCATGAATGGGTATTGAACTTTATTAGATTTTTTTTTTACATTTCTTGAAGTTTGCATGTATTAGTTTTCCCTATTTAACCTATTAATATACTGAATTATATTGATTTTTCTTATGTTAAACTTATTTTGCATACCTAGGATAAACAAATCTTACTTGTTCATGAAGTATTGTGTTTTTTATGTATTGCAGGATTCCAGCTGCTGTTCTTTTATGTCTAGGTTCACGGTGTATACTGGTATACTTTTCTTTTCTTGTATGTCTGTGTCTAAATTTAGTGTCATGGTTATGCTGGCTCCATAAAAGAATTGGGAAATGATTCCATTTTCTGTCTTTTCTGAAAAAGTTTGTGTAAGATTGCCATCGTTTCTTACTTAAATGTTTAATAGAATTTACTAGGGAAGTCATCTGGGCCTGAAGTTTTCTTTGTAGGAAATTTTGCAATTAGGAATTTAATTATTTTTGGAGGCTATAGGGCTATTCAGATTTTCTATTTTCTGTTTTGTCAACATAGGTGAATTGTGTTTTTCAAGAATTTTTCCATTTCATTTAAGAAGTCTTATTGTCATAATGTTCATACTATCTTCTTATTCTCCTTTTATTGCTTAAGTTATGTAGTTATGTTTTCCCTTTGATTCTTTATATTGGTAATTTGTGTTATCTATTTCTTTTTTCCTGATGAGGCTTGCTAGAGGTTTATCTATTTCTTTAATCTTTGCCAAGAACAACTTTTACTTCGTTGATATTTTTATATTTGTTATTTCTCTTCACTTGGTCTCTGCTTTTAATTTTATGATATCCTTTCTTCTACTTACTTGCTTTTATTTGCCCAGTTTATAAATGTAGAAACACGCATCATTCATTGTACACCTGTCTTCTTTTCTTACATACTTACATAGTCACTTAAAGTTATAAATTTCTCTCTAAGCCAGGAGCCCTTCTTTAGCTACATCCCACAAATTTTGATATGTGTATTTTTGTTATTCAGTTCAAACTGTTTTAAAATTTCTCCTGTAATAGTTTTCTTTGACCTGTAGGTTACTAGGAAGTACATTGTTTAATTTCTAAATATTGGAAAATATTCAGAACTTTCTTTATTGATTTCTAATTTAATTCTGTTGTGATTAGAAAATATATTTGGTATGATTTCATTCCTCTATATTAATTAAAACTTTTTTATGGCCTAGCATCTGGTCTATCTTAGTGAATGTTCCCATGCACTTGAAAAATATGTATTCTGCTGTTAATAATAAATGTCTAATAAATGTCTATTAGGTCAAGCTGATAGCATTCAAATATTTTATATCCTTATTGCTTTCTTTTTTTGTCGATTTGTTTTGTCAGTTTCTGAGAGAATGGCATAACGTCTTTGCCTGTGATTGTGGATTTGTCAGTTTTTCTCTTTAATTTTGTTAATTTTTGTTTTCTTTATTTGGGATCCTTTTTATTGCGTACAGCTATATATTTAAGATTGTCTTCATGAATTTGAACCTTTGATTATTATAAAATTCCCCTCTGTGTTTCTGATAGTACTCTTCCTGAGGTCTACTTTGATATTTCTTAGCCACACACCTTTCTTATCCTTAGTGTTTATATGATTTATCTTTTTCTATCCTTTCACTTTCAGTGTGTCTCTTTTATGTTTAATGTGTGTTTTCTTGTATATAGTGAGTAATTGGGATCTTAAAAAATTTCAATCTGTCCATCTCTGCCTTTTTATTGGCAGTGTTTAGTCCATTATTGGCAGTGTTTAGTCCGTTTACATTTTCCCCCCAGCTTTACTGAGATCTAATCAACACATAACATTGGGTAAGTTTATGGTGTACAACATGATGATTTGATACACATATATATTGGGAAATGGTTAACACAATAAGTTAGTTAACCTATCTGTCACTACACATAGTTATCTTTGCGTGTGTGTGTGG